TGGACTAACTTGTCAGCAAACCTGGCTGGACCATGGCTGTAGCAGTTAGCATCTCATGTACCTTTAAGCTACAAGCCAGGTGCAGATGAGTCATGCCTCAGACACACAGTGCAGCTTGTAAAACACTTCATCTAGAGGGAGTAAAGAGAAAAGAAAGGGCTGAAAAAAGGAAGTGACTCAGGGGCTGGCAACTCCAGAGGCGGGACAGCACAGAAATAGATAAGCCCAGACATCAAGGAAATGAGAGCAAAACCCATGGAAAAACAAGCAGCAAACTGTCTCCACTCAGCAAGGGCAGACCTCAACTGCAGAACTCATTTTCAGCAGTCAGTGGGGAGCCTTGCAGGGAGCAGCTCAAGCTGGAAGCCCTCTCTTAAGCCTACAAAGGTTTTAACCAGTGCCCCCACCCATCCTAGCCCACACACAGATGCAACGTAATGAGCCCTGAGTCTCCATTCTTGCACTCATTAGAGGTCTCTTCCATCACCTAAGGTAGGGTTGACAATACAATCATTGCAAGGGTGCAGCACTGTGGATCTGCTCAAGTTCCTTGCAGGTAGCACTGGTGGCAGGTGCTTTAGGGCCCCTCTGAATGTGCAGATAAAGGTGTGAGCCACATAATTATGCTTTCTACCATGCCACGTTTGTGAAACTGCAAATTAGCTCTCATCACACATTAATGCCAGTGCAGGGGGGAGTCCAGGATCACAGTCTTGGGCTCCCTTTGCACTGGCGAGTAAAAACTCCTGTGGCTGGGAACCTCAACTGGCAGGTCTCCCAGCTGTGGGGGCATAGATCCCAAATTAAAGTTTAATCAGACATTCAAATTAAAAAATTAGATGGAAACAGCTGTAAAAAGTTATTGCATGTTTTGCAGCTCTAACTTTATAGCTGGATAGACATTTTTATGGCTTGATAGTTACTTTGCACATAGCTGGTCTCAACAAATTGCACAGTTCACCTGGTAATTGTATAATACATGTAACACAGTGGGGGCCTGAGGGCCCTGCTACACATTCAAATTAAAACTGCATAGAAACCAGCACTAGAGTTGTGACATGTTTTCAAGCCCTAACTTTAGAGCCCATTGGTTTTTCTTTTCTTTTTACAACTGGAGAATCATTTTTAGCTTGTGATAATTACTTTGCATGTGCAGTTGGTCTACATTTATTGCCCACTTCACCAGTGCACTGCATGATAATTACTTGACACTTGTGGCCAGTTTAAAGTTTACTGCATGCACTGCCAGTCAACTGGATGACGGCTCCTTCACAGGAGCGGCAGGGCTACATTTATGGCACAACCGATCTGTAATATTTTTTCTTTTTTTAAGGAAAATTTTTTGTGTTCCAAACCAGCCAAATCAATCCCAAATCCGTGAGTCATTCAAGAGCCACACGTGGCCCTGCTACTAGCAAGCACCCCCAACCCCACCTGGGGCTTCAGGTACTTCCAAATGCTTTGGCTAGCGTCCCAGGCGTAGGCCCGAGACGGGGGCCCCAAGTCTCGCTTGCCCTCAGCCGTAGAGCCGCAGGAGTACGCTCCGGAGGCGTCTTCCGTTTCCATAAAGTGGGCGTGTAGCCGAGACCCTCCCTAGAAGTGAATGTGGGAGGCGCCGGTCTAGGCACTACCCCCGCCAGCAACTAGGAAACCCGCCTTGGTGCTCGGTGCTCCCCCCGCCCGCCCGATCCGTCACAACCAGCACCAGCGACTGCCGCGCACACTGCGCGACGCAGGTGCCGTGCGGCCCGGGCCCCCCCCGAGACCCGCTTGTAAAGAGCAGCCCGAGGCAACGCTCTACCCAGACAGGCACGTCTCTATGGTCGGCGCCGGAAGTACCTCGCCATTGGGCGAGCGAGACGGAAGCGCAGTTGCGGGCGTGGTGCGCGAGCTGCTGCTCAACCAGCTGCGTCCGGAGCCGCTGGGACGGGTCTGTGGCCGCACCTCCGAGCCTGGTTCCAGGACTCGTCGCCGGGGCAGTCGCGCGGTGCTGGGTCCCCATCCCCCCCGGGGAGGCCGCACGGGCGGACTCGGCTGGCGCGCGGGGGCCGCAGCTGCTCCTGGAAGTACAGACGAGCCAGGCGGGAACGGAGCTCAGGAGGTCTCGAGCCCAGGCCCAAGCAACTCCTGTCTAGACCATCCTGAACACGCGTTTGTCCAGGCTCTTACCCGCGTGAGGAACCGGGTTCCTGCCCGGCTGCAGGCACAAGCGGCCGAGCATCAAAACACGGGCTTGGTCACGGTCCTGCCAGCGCAAGGAGAGGAGGGAGTTTGTTAAAATATGTTCAGGAGATGCAAGGAGATGGACCGTGCGGGCCTTGCCTCTGTTCGGTAGCTGCCGCATTATGGTTCTAGTTACGATGCCTGCACACATCTTTACTTCTCTTTCCTTGCAAGGGTCTATTTCATTTTTCAAGGACCTGATGTGAGACTTAAATTATAGCAGACCATTAAGCCCATTCATTCTTCTGCCTGTGCTGGGAACATGGTCTGTTAGTTCCAGTTGTGGCAGTGACAAGCTGTATGCAACAGGGCAGAGCAGCAGACCAGTGTGTCTCATCTGGTGTGCCAGTCTGCAAGAGGCCAGAACAAAACTTCGCCTCCAGCAGTGCACAGTCCCCAAGGGTTCATCAGAAACTAAAAGTTCGTTGTTGTTTGCTTGGACTGTGTTTGCCACATCAGGATCTTATTGCTTGACCCCAGCGTTGGTCCATTTACATTCTGAACCATGACCTTAATAATGCTTCTTAGATTGAAGTACAAGCAGCTAGCTGTAGTGCACTAGGACAAAAGATCGTCATTTCTTCAGTACCTCCATGCAAGTGCAAGCCCAGGGACAGGACTGGAACATTTGAAAGCCTGTTTCATCAGACAATATTCATCCCAAGAGAAATCTCTTGAATACAAGTGCAGAAGAACGCCCCCCCCCCCCC